AGACCTTGCCTTTGTCCAAGCCCCTTGTTCTTGTTATTCCAAACTGTTACTACTACACTTTCTTGAGATGAAGCTGCTATCCTACGGTTGTCTCATTAGTCTTGTTACTTCGGCTACAAGTGGAGTCGTATCTGGACAAGAGCTACATGAAGATTTCACTGCCATCAACTCAAGCTCCAAAGTCTCGATTGCGGCCGCAGATCCCCAACTTGCTGTCGACACACCGCCACCCCCAGACCATGACTCCATATGGCACAAGGCTTATTGTCGCGGCGCCGCCCTTGTCCGAGCCATGTCCCTCGACGAAGAAGAAAGCAACACGATGCTGCAATGGCCTTACACACAAAGTCCTTGGGACGGCGATCTAAAGCCTGAACTGAGAAAATGGGGCTGGCTCGACAACGAAGAGGACAACACGAACATCGACGATTCGTGTGACTTCGATGAGAAGTTGAAGATGAAGAACACTTTCGACGCTCTCGGTGTTGACACGCGACCGGCGGGGAAGGGTGGACCGAATCATTGCTTCAGATTACAGCATAGCAATGGGCCTACGGTCATTCGAGACAAAAATGGCAAGATGCCTTATTTGTCCAGTCAGCGTTACGAGGCAGATGGGAAGACGTACAGGGTCAGTAACCTACACCTTCATCAACGTGATGTTCACCAGGCCAACGTCTAATAACGCAACAGGTCACCGACGCCTACAGCACCGTAGGCATAAACCGCAACGACGGTATTCTCTACTTCCTCAACCGAATGTCACCTGAGCAAGGAGCCGCAGATCTCTGGAATTTGAGACCGGAACAAGTCGATAAAGCCGATTTGCCCAAGATCCGCTCGAGCTCTGACTTAGCTTGGGCGCTCTGGAACAGGGTTCCAGGAGAACCAATGATCAAAATGATCATGGCTCTCCAGATTGTTAATACGCAAACGGCTGAGACGATCATACCGAAGGCTTTGGAGGCGGTGGGAGAAACAGAGCTGAAGAGATGGCCGGGAACGGAGATTGTTGTTGGGTCAGATAATGACGCTGAGGCTGAAGCTGCTCTTGCGCTTATTGGTACGTCATTTCTCCTGCACATCGCATCCCGCTCTCTCTGACACTCTCTAGGCTCGCCCAATGGACTCGGCGCTGGCTACTTTCTTCTACAACACAAAAGGCAGCTCGGTGGCGCAAATTTCATCTACAAGATCACGATATTTAGAAACGATGGCGATGAGTTTGATGATGAGCCTAATCTCATTTTTCACGTTGACAAGAATACAACACCGATGCCGGATGTGGAAGACACTCCTGGTGCGCCGGAGAAACCGGCGGAGAAGGGTAGCGCGGCGGTTCGAGAGGGTAAGGTAGTGAGGAGGAGTAGGGATGGGAAGAATTTGGTTAGAGAACATGTTGTTTGGGCTAAGCTTTGATGGGAAGGCTATAGCATATTGCAAGAGGGTAAGTGCGGTCGTCAAAACCTAACAACTCAAAGGTATTGCGATGAGACAGCATACAGGCTTACACATGAGTTGACCAGTGGCTGAGATACAGCAGTGCAGCATGTTGGGTCGAACGTGCTTTCTCTTTCCCAGCATTTTTCTTATCTCAGCTCTGTGTTGCTCTTGCCTCACATCCCCTCCGCCACCTTCTCTCACCTTCACTTTGTGTCGCAAGCGCCGCTCGCTTGTCCGGTGAAGGCTCCAGTGCCCACCTTCTCTCCTTCCTCTTGTCGTTACCCCGCACGCAAATTTACCTGCAGCACCGCGAGTCGAAAAGATGAAGTTCACGCAGATCTTCTGCATCGTGGGTCTTGTTGCCCTCGGCGCGACTGAGGCCTTGCGCAATCTTACCAACGTCACTTCCGTCACTCTCGAATCTCAGAACCTCACTGTGCACGTAGCAGGCGACCCGGACGATAGCGACGATGACGACGATGACGATAATGACGACGACGATAGCGACGACAGCGACGATAGCGATACTGACGATGATGACGTACGGCTTGGGACTCCAGTTCCTGCTACTGAAGCACTTTGGCATGCATCGAAATGTCGTGGCGCCAAACTCATGTTTGCGTGTACCCAGGATCCACCGCAAGCCGCCCGGTTTGTTAATCCCTTGACAGTTCCCTGGGATGGCGACCTCAGGAACGAACTTCTCACTTGGGGTTACAAGGAAGGAACTAGTGATCCTGATGACGACTGCGAGATCGGCGTTCTCCAGCCAATGCTAGACGCCCTGGGACTTTCCAAAGTAAACAATCTTCACGGCGGGCCAAACTACTGTTTCTCTTACGAACATCGTGACAGCGCTGTCGTGGAAAGAGTAAATGGAATCTTGCCACCCAAGGACAAACAGTGGTATATTGTCGATGGTGTGAGGTACAGGGTAAGCTCATGCGTCGACTCCTTTCACTGGCCTTAACTAATGGCTTTGTGCTTCTAGGTCACGGACGCTTATTCCACCGTCGTCATCAATCAAGCTGCTGGCATAATTTTCTTCCTTCGCAGAGGGTCCGCTGAGCATCAAGCCCGCAGACTCTGGAAGGTAAAGGATCAGGTTCCCATTCCACCAAATGAGTTGCCGGCTCTACGTACGAGCTCAGACGTAGCCTGGGGATTCTGGAACAGAGTAAGTGGTGAAAACCTGGGGAATATCAATGGCGTCGTCTCCATGTTAATCACCAACGACCAAACGCGGAGAGTTATCGATAGGGTATTGGTGGACAAGCATCTCGAAACGGTACAGCTATGGCCAGGAACTGTGGTTGACGTCCACTCCGTACATTATCTGGCTCTTCTGGGTACGTTGAAATTCTCTATTCTTCCACACTCGTGATGCAAAGCATCTTATGCTTCGGGTTTGGGAAGTCACTAACGACCAATGCGAATCTAGGATCACCCAATGGTAGAGCTGTAGGATATCTGCTGGCGCAACACAAGGCAAAGATTGGCGGCAATAGATATGTTGAGTCTATTCACATATTCCGCCCCTACGAGTACTCGACACTGCCTCACCTTTTCTTCCGCGTCAATTGGGCGCCATCTCCGCCGCCAACAGTACCAGAGGAACCAATAGAGGACTTATTGCCGCCAGAAGGAAATGGGTTTGAAGTGGTTAGAAGAGGTAACGGTGAGAAGAACGTCATCAGAGAGCATGTGATTCGGGCGAAACTGTGAAAATACGATCAAACGCATAAGACTTGGGCCACAATACACCGGCTCACATATATGGCAGCTTAGTATATACGAGATGCTCATTCAATTACTGCCTCGGATCGACTGATATCTGTGTGTTTCACTCTCAGACTCGCCACCATAACGCTTCTGGCTCTTGCTGCTTACCTTTGATGATCTTTCACTCATACTGCAAACACTCGGAGTGTCACCCGCGTCATTCCGGGTCCGTACGCGTCGTGTCACTAGAACTAACGCCCTTTACTCCATAGACCCGCTTACATCTCTCATGTACTCTCTCACCGCAGCGCCTACCACCTCACATTGATCTACAACATGAAAGTCCACCTACTTTCATGTCTCGCCGCGTTTCAGAGCCTCGTCGCGGGTGAGGCTCTAACACCCTCCGTCAACGAGACGTCCCTCGATCTCTCCAGCCTGGTCACTGAAGACGGCCATAGCCTACTCAAAAGAGCACCCATCGCGCCAGCAAACGACTTCCTATGGGTGACTGCCGGTTGCCGCGGCCAGAAGCTCCAGCTAATGGACACCCTCAATCCACAAGAAGCGCAGCAATTCGGTACTCCACTGAACAGTCCATGGACTGGGACACTTGTCAACGAGCTTGCGCTGTGGGGCTACCTAGACAACAGCGAAAACAGAGATATCAAAGACGAATGCGACTTCACCATGAAGCCGATGTTCGAAACCGCACTGAAGGCTCTTGGAATCAGCGCGAGGAGTGCCCCGGATGGCGGACCGAACAAATGTTTCTCCTACGTCCACAGAGACAGTGCCGCCGTTCAGCGGTTGCCAAACGGCCAGCTGCCAGCCAGAAACCAACAGCAGTACGTCGTCAACAGTAGAAGCTACAGGATAACCGGCGCATTCCACACCATCGGCATCAACGCGCAAGATGGCGTCATCCACATGATCAACCGCCGGTCAGCCCAATCTGCAGCCAAACAGTTGTGGGGCGTCGCCCAAGCTCCAAAAGACCAGCTGCCCGCTCTAGCTTCGAGTTCAGACATCGCCTGGGGTCTATGGGAAAGGATGAGCGCCGGTAACCTCGCCAACATCAACTACATCTTCTCCCACCGGATCACCAACGAGGAGACACGCGCCATCATCGCGCGCGCTTTGGAAGGCCGGGAAGTACGACCTTGGCCGGGAGAGGTATTCGAAGCTGGAATGGCTACGGAATACTGGGCTTTGTTGGGTATGTTCCACACGGCCTCTTGCTTGCAGGATGTTACACAGTGCTGATGTATGACTTCTAGGATCGCCGAACGGCATCGCGGCAGGCTACCTGCTCGGACAACATAAACCCCAGTTTGGTCACAATAGATACGTGTCGGCTATACATGTCTTCCAGGGCGCACCGGGAAGTCCCTTCATGGGGGTACCGGCGTTGCCGTATATGTGCTTCGTTGTTAAGCCGGCGCCGTACCCGCCGCCGCCTCCTCCGCAGGAGATTCAGATGCGAGATGTTGCGCTGGATGAGCCTATTGCTATCGATGAGGACGAGGACCGAGTGGTAGCGCGGTCTGAAGACGGGAAGAGCATTGTGAGGAGTCATAAAGTGTTTGCAAAGTCGTGATAGAGGGTGGAGGGATAGTTAGATTGGAGAAGGCAAAAGCTTGATAATGTTTCCTTGCACATATCATCGTTTCTGGAATGTACGCATACATTGAGTGCTTTTAATACCGTTCGCTTTGTGCTAGTGATTGCATGCTCTCGAACCGAACCGATGTTGTCTAACCATCTAATCGTATCCTTCTTGTACACGAAGCCATCTGCTCAAGGCGCAGCATCGAAGGCCGGCTTCTACGTACCTAGTCTGAGCGGCCTGCAAAGACCACGTGTCGTCTTATAAGACTTGTCCCATCCCCATCCCCATCAACAAGATTCGACTCCACCAATCCAGTGCCCTTATCCTTGCCCTTGTCCTTATCTTCAGGCTCCGCCATCTCCGGCGGCGGCGAAGGCACATTGTCGACGTAAAAGAGAATGTTTCTCATCGGGCGGTCTTCCTTATCGGTCAGGAAGACGTTGATCTTGGAGATGTACTTGTCCTTGCCCAATTGGCGCTTGTGTTGCGCAAGGAAATAACCTGCGGCTCGACCGTTTGCGGAACCTGTTGAGCGATCTTGTTAGTAATTGAAGGTAGAACGAGATGTTGACGGGAGACACTCACCGATAATCGCTAGTCCTTCCTCCGACTTTGGATCAATCTCAGTTCCTGGCCACTTTTTCGGCTCTTTGATGTTCTGTTTGGCGAGCGCTCTATCGATGATAGATTGAGTCTCTTCGTTTGCGATGTACAAGCTGAATATCTTGCGAATGTCACCGAGGTTGTCCTTTCCGCGTATCTTATTCCAGAGGCCCCATGCGAAGTCAGAGCTGGCGCGCAGTTCGGGTAGCTCAGAGGCTTTTGGGGCGTATTTCCAGAGCATCTTTGCGGTTTCGAAGGGACTACTGCGCGAGACGAAGAAGAGTGCGCCCGCCGTGGGATTGACACCGAACGTGTACGTGGAAGCTGTGCACTAGGCTCTGTGTCAGTCACCCCGAAAATTTGCTATGATATCCGGCTTAGCAGGTTGATGCGCAAACCCAACTTACCCGCTGCCTCTTGCCCGATGGATCAAGATAGTATTGTTTATCGATTGGCAACATCCGACCTTGGGGGTCATCCAGGTAGAAAGGATCTTTTGGATCAAAGAGAACGGCCGGACTGTTGTAGTGGAAAGCGCCGAAACACTGATTATCTCCTCCTTCGCTGAGCGACTTATCGCTTATGTCGAGGGCTTTGAAAGAAGTCGTCATCCCATGGAAGCCGAAGGCGCACCAAGAGTCCTCGTCCTCCCATAGATCCCAGGCCCACGCTAATCCCTCTTTCTCTAAATTGCCGTCCCATTTGCTGCTGAGGGGATCGATGTAACGTGTGCCTTGATTGCCGTCTCTGGTCATCGCGAGGAAGAGTTTCTGGCCTCGACATACCGCCTTTTCATACTCTTCATCGCTGATTGCTGAGGCATGGATGACGAAGCCGGGGTCTGCAGGGTTGTAGCCAGCAAAGTCGATTGGAATGACGTTCCTCCTGGAAACGTGAAGGGCTGAGATATTCAAGAGAGGCCCACGTGGCGGGCTGAGACGCTCACTTGCGACCAGAGCGACTAATCCCGTCCATGACAGGAAATTGAGTGCCTTCATCGCGGTGGAAAAGGAAGAGCGCGGTAGTGTTTGACTAGTTGAGGCTGAGCGACGGACGGGTACGCGAAAGCGGAGGAGCAGAAGAACAAGTAGTTCCGGCGGGAGGTGGGGAGGTGATGGGTGAGCAGCCTGGATATAATCTTTGCCTAAGGTGCACGAGCAGTCGAAGGTGTAGAGCTGGGGGCCCGACCCACACTGCGTGCTAAGCGTACTACGAAAAAGGTTTAGTTGCAAGAGACTCTACTGTCATTCCGTTTCACTCAACAGTACAAAATATCACCGCCACCGAGATACAGTGAAGGCGTTGCCTGCTCAGCAGTGACACTGGCCTTGGACCCTCGACCTTCGGAACCTAGAAACCCACGACGGGTGTTTCCACCTCTTCTCCCACGCGTGCAGTCATGCTGCCCGTCGCCGTGAGTCAGAGAACAGTCTGGGTGATGTCAATAGCATGAAGCCGAGATGTCATAGTTGCAAGCCTTTCCTGGCCTTCGTTCCATAAGCTGTAGTTGTCTCATCTTTGTCCGTTGAACAATATCGCCTGAAGCTCTGTTTTTGCGACCATGCTAATTGACAGAGTTTTTTTGAACTTGATCAGTACTTCCTTGAGGCATTATTGTGCGGGCGTTTGTTGTAGATGCGATAGAAGGTGCGTGCCAACACCACCTACATAGCTGGATGGTGCTGAATCAACAATGGAGACACGTCGTCTAAACTGTGGTTCGTTGCGAAAGTGGTTCATTGATACCGCTCAACATGCTGACAGAGTGATGGTTGACGGATGGTGAGCTCCTTTTGGGTGTAACGGTACACGACGTTGACAGACGCGCGTGGATTGATGCAGTTTAGCAATGATCGAAGCTCGTAGCGTTGGGGCATGACAATGTAGCTGGAAATGAGACAGAAGTAGCCATTGAATAATGTGAGGAGCGGCGCATCCCATAACCGTTATTTTGGGTGTGGATGGTGAAGCGAAACGCGTCGACGCGTTGTTCGGTCTAGCCTGACTTGGGGCCTGTTTAGTAATCGCAAATACTAGTACAATACTAAGATATAACATAATATAATTTATTATATACGTATATTTAGTAACTAGTAATTTATATAATAGTAGTAGAATACACTAAAAGTATATAACATATTTAAAAAGTAGTAAAATATATTTTATTATTATTTAATTATAAAGAGTAGTTTTATTATATAATTAAAGCTTTTATTATATACTTTTTTTATACTAAATAAGTATATATAGTAGTAGAATACTTAATTTAAGTAATTATTAAATATATAGTAAATTAATTACTATATAAGTATAGTATTATACTATAGCGTAGAGCTATTTCTATTCTAAGAAGCTTTTAGATATTATACTACTACTTAGAGCTATTTCTATTCTAAGAAGTTTATAAGTATTATACTATAGTATAGAGCTATTTTTATTCTAAGAAGCCTTTAGATATTATACTACTACTTAGAGCTATTTCTATTCTAAAAAGTTTATAAGTATTATACTATAGTATAGAGCTATTTCTATTCTAAGAAGTTTTTAAATATTATACTACTACATAAAGCTAATTCTAACCTAAAAAGCTTTCTAGGTATTATACTACTATATAAAGCTATTTCTATTCTAAATAAGCTCTCTAAGTATTATACTACTACGTAAAGCTAATTCTAACTTAAGAAGCTTTTTAGATATTATACTACTACGTAAAGCTAATTCTAATTTAAAAAGCTCTCTAGATATTATACTACTATATAAAGCTAATTCTATTTTAAGAAGTCTTCTAGGTATTATACTACTACGTAAAGCTAATTCTATTCTAAAAAGCTTTTAGAGCTACTACCTTTCTAAGAAGTCTTTAGATATTATACTACTACTTAGAGCTACTACCTCTTTAAGAAGCTCTTAAATATTATACTACTACTTAGAGCTACTACTTTTCTAAGAAGCTTTTAGAGCTACTATCTCTTTAAGAAGCTTTTAGATATTATACTACTACTTAAGACTACTACCTCTCTAAAAAGCTTTTAAATATTATACTACTACTTAGAGCTACTACTTCTTTAAAAAGCTTTTAGATATTATACTACTACTTAGAGCTACTACCTCTCTAAGAAGCTTTTAGATATTATACTACTACTTAGAGCTACTACTTTTTTAAAAAGCTTTAAAACTACTACTTTTCTAAAAAGTTTTTAAAGCTACTACTCTTATAAGAAGCTCTTAGATATTACACTACTATATAAAGCTACTATCTCTAAAAAGCTTTTAGATATTATACTACTATAGCTATATATAAAAAGAAACTTTATAATAAAGAAGGAAAAAAAAAGAGTAAAAAAAAGTAAAAAAGAAGAATAGATAAGCTAGAGATTAAATCTAGAACTTTTATAAATAGGTATTATAATAAGATAGTAAGTATATATAAAAAGTAAAATAATCTAAGCTAAGTTCTATTTACTAATATAAGTCTATAGTACTCTACTACTAAGCTACTTATCTAAATTATTTTAATAAAAAAAAACTATATTAGTTAGTATATAAATAGAATATAGTATAAGTATAAATAGTGTAGCTAAGTTACTTATAATAGGCTCTCTAATACTACGCCTTAATAGATAGTAGTATCTATATTATACTACTATATATATAAAGAAATAGATTATAGTAGCACTTTTATATAATATTATATTATACTACTATATATATATAAGTATAGCTAGCTTATATTATACTACTATAAGTAAGTATAAGAATAGATAGCGCGTAAATAACTATATTATACTACTATAAGTATATAGATATAGTTAAGTTATATTATACTACTATAGGTAATTATATAAATAGGTAGCGCCTACTTAGCTATATTATACTACTATTAGCGTATAGATATATACTAGTTATATCTATGTAGCCTCTTTTATTATACTATTATAAGCGTAGAAAAGAGTAGTAGCTTAAGCTATTATATTATACTACTAGTATAGGCCTATAAATATTTAGCTATTCTTATATATTATACTACTATATTATAATAGAGGTTAGTAGAGAAAGAGTTCTAAAGTAGAAGAGTTAAAAAATCTATAGTAGTAACGTAAATAGTCTATATTACTACTAGCGCTTATAATAAGATTTAAGATATTCTAAGGTCTATTAGTTCTAACTATTCTACTAAATAATAATAATATTATACTACTACTATATTTATAGTATAGCTAACGTATATATTAACTCTAGATCTAACTTTAACTCTAATAACTATAACTATAGTATTAATAGCTCTCTATATATATTAGACGTAAAAGATACTATACTAGATAGCGCTATTATATATAAGAATAATAATATAAAAGAGCTAAGTAAAAAGAATATAAATAGTCTACTACTATAGACTATTAGAGTAGTAGCTATAATACTTATAAACGTTATAGTATAGGTAGCTTTATTACTAAATTATAGTAGCTATAGTCTATAACTTTATCTACTCTTTTACTAGAATTATGTTATATATTTACTAGATAGATCTAATTACTAGTTCTATATAGCTATAAGAATAGATAAGGTTATTTTTTAAAGGCTATATAAATAGTATATATATAATACTATACTAGATAGACTAAAGTAGAAGTATAAGACTATAGTAGAACTAGATAAGAAGTTACTTATCTTTCTCTACTATTATAGTTATGCTAATATAGTAGATTCTAGCTTTTAATACTAAAGGTATTTAAAAGCTACTACTTACTATATTATAAATAAGTATTTATAAAAGCTTTATACTTTATTTAAAAAGGCTATATAACTTTTTAGTAGTAATACTACTTTTTTATACTAGCTTTAGCGTAGTATAAAGTTCTACTTATAGTTCTAGAATTATATAAGTACTATAGATAGTATATTTCTACGCGCTTATATTCTACTAAGTATTAGTAATAAGAAGATATAGCGTTATTATAAGTAGTTTTATATCTAGAATATACTTAGAGTATATAACTTTAATTATATATTTATTTATTATATAGCTAGATAGAAAGATTATATATATAACGTAAGAGTATTTAAATATATAGTATTATTCTATAATCTTAAACTACTTTATAATAAGTACTTTCTTATAAATTTAGAGTATTCTTTTACCTCTATTATAATAATACTCTACTCTAATACTTAGTACTATCTTACTAAGTCTACTAGAAGCGCTATAAGTTAAAATACTTATAGTAAAGAAAAGCTTTTTAA